GTGATTTGGACAATTATCTACGTGACAAGAAGTTTTCTTCCCAGGAGACAGTACAAATGCTTTCACACAGTTTGTGCAGTCTAGATCGTCGGAGTTCTATCGCAAAGGCATTAATAACCTTCCCATTAGATGGCAGCAATGTATAGATAATAATGGCAACTATTTTGATTAAATAAATTTGTTAAAAATTTAAAAAATAAACAATTTAGATTTTCAGTACAAATCGGCAATTTCATACTTTAACCCCTATTAGTACCCCCAATTTCGCCATTAGAGAGTTTTCAAATACTGGTATTTTTTTCAGGGTGTATGGCAGAAGAACAATTCATCCGGCCGGGGGATGAAAGTCCACAACACTTTTACGTACACGCAAGACATTAATTACGAGCCTAGGGTAAGCACATGCTATGCGAAAAAGTTAGCTTAGGAAATCTAATTTAATTTGCCTTTATCTTACTCTCTATTTATACTTGCCCGTCTTAAGCCCTTACAGAGTATCATATAATAAGGATAATATACACTGATTACTACACGGTGTGAAAACACGATTCCTAAAAATTTTCACGATAGAATAAACACACAAACTTACCTCGAAATTTTATAAGAAAACCGCTGCATTCAATAAGTACTTTACATTATACCAATGTTTTTTTTTATATCAACTGAACTAAATAGGACACGTGTACATTAAAAAAAAATCTGAAATAAAGCTAGTGTCGCTCTGCCGTTCGACCCAAGCAAAATGAACCGTATTAGTACAGGAAAAACTTGAATTCGAGCTGATACTCTAGAACTCTATTCAAGGCTCAAGTCAGGATTGCACTGGAAATACGACCCTAATGGCAGGGACTTGAGTATGATTTAAAGGACTGGAAATACGACCCTAATGGCAGGGACTTGAGTATGATTTTGAGTGCTTTAAACCATACTCAAATCGTGACTTGAGCATTGAGTAGAGTTCTAGAATACGACCTTAAAATTGAATACGTATATCTATATGCTATATACCTACAGAGGGAAAGAGCGAGAGTCTTTATGGATGTCGTTCGAAAGTTAATGAAATAACTATATTTGAAAAATAACATCTTGAACAATTTTCATTTTAGATTCTAGAACTACCCCTTGAAGACAAAAACTTCAGGTTAATAGTCCTGGTGCCAAACAAAGTGGATCTCCTCCATACATTATTTCGTCGATTGACCAACGAAGGTTTGACAGCGTCCTTTGCCAGCGTGCAGCCATTGTTCACAGCGCCATCAATTTTGAGACCACCTAACATAAAGATTTCTTCTGAAACTAGCATCAGGTTCGAAGAGGTCAGCGTGTATAATATGATCTTAGTGCTCAAATTCACAATACCTTTTTTTTATAATATCAAGTAACGGGACGAACAAGTCGTGCGCCTGATGGTAAGCTACACGCCTGTCCATAACAGTTGCAGTGCCACTCAGCTTTAAATCGCAACGATCAGAGGGGCACTGCCACTGCGCCCGTCGCCCTGAGACATAAGTTGACAAGTCTCATGTGCCTGTAATTTCACCAGCACCCTTACCCTTCAAAACCGAAACACAGTAATGCTGGCATTACTGCTTGGCGGCAGATTTCTGCCGTCATACCTATTTAGGTATGGTGGCAGTACTTCGGACGAACTCTTCCACAAGGAGCTCTACTGCTACTTAAATATATTGCTAAATATGGATGCGGGAAATACAAAAATAGACCAATGCGTCGTAGAAAATCTACCCATCTGTGTCCACTGAGAAGAAGCTAATGTTTGCAACCGTAGCAAAAAAAAAACTTTAAAAAAGAAACACTACAGAGCTATAAGCGTAAGTTATTTTAAGTTTTAATTGTAAATTAATTTGCAGGCTAATAGAAACCTGAATCAAACGGTTATTCAACATGGTAACGTGATTGTGGATAACATTGGCGTCAGTATCAAAGTTCTAACCTGTAAGTAGATTCATCCAATGACCTTACAATGTATTTGTTTCTAGCAGTTCATAAAATTAGAAAATCAATTCCCACTGTTTAAGAAAACGGTATCATGAACAACACAAAGGTGGCGAACAGCAAGCTAACGCAAAAACAAACAAGCCGAGCCCGCCCGAACGAACTGCTTTTGTAATCGTGAAAACAGAGAGGGCAACAAATTTAGTGCCCAGTTACATAAAGCGAAAGTTTTGCGCGCACGGCGACCGCCCAGTTACCACGCCTTCATGGACATTAATGGCAAATCTGAATTCTATTTACTAGGCAAAAACATTTCAAATTCCTCTGAATAACACAACCGCGCGACTGCCGCGCGGGCCGCCGCGTAGACCAAATTCAAGCCAACCTCGCCCGCGTGCCCGGGACGCTCATTTTAACTTAAATGTAAAAGCAAAACAAATAGAACGTATTTTGCTATAACAGGTAGACGCACGCGGGCTCTTCGACCGCGCGGGATGAGTGCGATGAAATCGATACCTCCTATGAACACTACGCCAACTTAATTTTTCGACCTGTTCTGTTTTTATTTTGTTTTTGTTTATTTTTTTTTCATAAAATTCGCTTTTTGTTTTTTTTTTTTCAAATTTTGTTTCTTGTTTCTTTATTTTTTCTTCACAAAATTCGGGGAGCATAATGTTAGTAAATAAATATGGCCGTTTTCAAAAATAACAGAAATGACCAAAAAATAAAGTTGGCGTAGTGTTCATTGGGATATCGAAATTCGTGTCGAATAAATATTAAAGCCCTTAAGTTTGGCCTCGAGCGGCAGAAGTCAACACTACGCCTCTGTTTCCAGTATCATAAATAACATTATTTTAACAAAATTCCTGTTTCTAATAAAAACAATGTCAATCATATTAAAACCGGTGGTGCTGGCTTTTTGATTAGATATTGTGCTTATTTAAATTTGATAGTTCTTAACTCACACATACAAATTGTACTGGGTGTAATCGTTTAGTGTGCCCAGGCTATTGTTCCATGAAAATATGAGACATCATAAAACTATAAACTGATATAAAGCCTCTCTACGAATATTAAATGTATCAAAGCATTTAATATAAACATTCTTAGATATTTCTACTTTTATTTTTAAAAGTTATTGGTGTCTTTTTACTCATTAAGTAACGTACTTTCGATGTCAGTTAGTAACGATGTGACTTCCTTACATCATCATCACACCTTTTTATCACCTTCTCTCTGGTACGTGGCCACTTATTTTCAAACTTTGAATCGTTCTTTAATTCCTTTGTCTCTCCATTCTCTTTTTGTGTCGTTCCATCATCACTCCGTGCTCAATCGGGTTAGCGACCAATTCAGCTGTAATTCTTAATTGCGTCTAAGTTTGATCCTTTTACCAGTTCTCAACCTAATCATGTGCCAATTTTAATGTTATTACCAATCTGTAATTCTGTATAACACGGCCCTTTTGGGGTAAGTCTACTTTACATTCATCCATACGCATATCCGTATGTAATTAAATTAGGGAGTGTTTTATAGTATTGTACCTGTGTTTTAAATACCTTTTCTTGTTACAGCCTTTGTTTTCCTACAAACTATCAAATATTTTTTTGTGTACCGAAGTTAAGTACCCTATTTTATAGCCGTGATCCTGGTCACGGCACATTAGGGTTTACAACCTTTTCAAGTTTAAAGGCAATTGATATCTCTAAAATTTACGGTATAATCACCTGGGCACACTTAACGATTATACCCTGAATAGTCATTACTTAGTTTAAAATGCTTATTACTACTTGCAATAACCATCCGATTGAAAAAAAATAGTTACCGATTCGATTTGGGTATAAACAATAAAGAAAATGGCCATACTAAAAGATAATGGTAGGATTGTCAAAAAAAAAAGAGAAATGGGAGTGAATTACCAGGCGAAAAGTTATCCTATTATGCGTTTTTACGAATTTTAAGAGATTACAATTAATGTTTGCTATAGTTCTATTATTTTATTCTAAAATTATATGCGTGTACTTATACTATGTAACATCCAATATAACAAGCTTTGTGACATTTTTAGTAACAGGGTCCAGTGTCAAGAGCACGTCAAATTTGACATTTAAGTTCAATTCTATTATATGCCACTTGTGATAAGAACGGTCTAAATTCCAAAGTGTGAAGCTTGATGCTTTTGATTGTACACTAAAACCTTTGGATTGGTTTTTTCAGGTCTTGTTGAAATCACAAACAAGTCTTTGACAAAAAGTCAAGACGCGTTCCTTCGATAGAGTTCTTTTTTGTAGTCTGAGGGTCTACTCTTGTTGTCCGTCCGAAACAATTACTGTCAAATAGGTAATACTGGCAAATTAAAAGACGATGTTAAGTATGAAGCCTCATTCCGACCCCTCCTACATAAAGTGTCGTATGTTGAAATTGCCAAGTTTACAAGGAAGCCTTTTAAAGTTCTGAATTCACTGAAATAAGCAAAATACGTGACTTTAGCATTTCTCAGTTTTATACGGCAAAGCTCGGTACTCACAAAGAGTATTATAAAATCCTAGATATCGGTTAGATGATCTATGATGATCTATTAGATGATCATTCTATGTGAGTAACGAGCTTTGTCGAATAAAACGGAGAACTTTAAAACACTCCCCTGTAAATTTCGACATACGATACTTTACGTAGGAGGGGTCGAATCGCATCATGCGTCTTTTAATTTAATCGAGTATTACTTATTTCACAGTAATTGTTACGGAGAACAAGACTACAGGGCCAAGATTCGTATGTTATTGCTAAGTTAGTCACAGCCAAACCGTACTAGTTATTAACTACCGTTTTATTTATAATTTTGACAAATGTATCCAATTTTCATTTTACTCATGAACTTGTCTAAATTCGATATCTTCATTGCAGGTCTATATATGTCCGATGAACCTTTAAGCTGCAATGCTACTAAAACAACACCAGCGGATAAATCGCCCATTTTCTTCGCAATCATATTCGAAGATAGTCCACTTTTTACTGGACAGTACATGGAAGGAATATTTTAGTGCGTAAAAACAATTATAAAAAGAAATTGAATTCCTTTGTTTGTTTCATTGCAATGCTGAAACAGCCTGCGAGGGGTAATCTTCAGCTTAGAACGAAGGTTTTTCGTTCCGTAAAATTTCTTTAAAACATGGGCAATCTAATACTTTTTTCGGCACTCGGAAATTGCCAGTGAATTCCAAAACTTCTTTGCCCTCGCCAATTTCACCTTGGCCTTTTAAAGTAATTACACCTTTGTCGTCACTACGCATTTCACTTTTTTTCTCACCTATAAAACCACTTGAGTCATTCGTTCTTCGTGACAATAAACTGATAAGTTTATTTAGCGAGGATGTAGTCCGCTTTAAATTTAGTCCCATTACATATGTCTTGTCGTTAATCAATGGGGTCTCTTTCGTGATTCTATTTTTTAAAATCATTGCTTTATTGTTGGTAAAGCCTTGATTACCCAATCCTAAATCTAGATTAAAATTATTATTGTTTCGTGTTGGTATACTTCGTGGCCTGGTGGGTAAAGCGGGATGTATACGCTCAACACCATATACAGAAGGCTGACTGTTCAGCAATTCATGTAAATTTTTTATTTCTACTGTATCGTAAAGGTAACTTAGCTCGCTTAGGATCTGACTTTCGTCGCTGCTTTCGCCGCTGCTTTCGCTGTTGCTTTCGCTTCTGCTTTGTCTACTTTCAACTTTCCCCTTTCTTTTGCCCTTTTTCTTACCCTTACCCTTTTTCTTTTCCTTCTTTTTCTTCTTTGCACTCTTTTTCGTTTTATTTTTCTTTGTGTCTTTTTTGTTGACTGTTTTGTTGTTCTTTTTCTTTTTGTCTTTTATTGGTTCTTTTTTCTTCCCTGGACTCTTATCTGATAACTTTTGTGCAACATATTTATTATCTTTTTTTTCTTCTTTCTTTGTAGTTTCTTTTTTGGTGTCTTTCGGTTGCTCTGTAGTAACCTCTTCATTTATCTTCTCTCTTTGCTCCAACTCATCATGATGCTGTTTCTCATCCTTTGGCGTCGTTTCCTGTGTGACCTTATTTCCCCCATTTTCGTTAGGATAATCCATATCTTTCTTTGCTGGTTGGTTATCATCGTTGTCTACATATAATTCTTCGTAACCTAGTACTAAAGGTGGCAGAACCACTAAACTAGCGGCGCGTTCGCGAGTTTCTTTTTCATCTTCACCCTGGAAATTATATAAATTATCGTGGTATTGTACGGACAACGGCACATCAGACTACACATTTTTGTACGAAAATCGCCTCCAGTGCAACGGAACAAGATACGTCAATATGTAGCTTGATGTGCTGGCATGTGTACAAGCTAAAAATATGCCTGATCGGACTTTTAAATAAATATACTCACAGAAATCGCCAAAATTTTTAGTGCTAACAACACGAGCAACACAAAATTCATTGTGCAACTGTTACAATTTTACTCACACGTATTTATAGTGCGACAAAATAAAACGTGTAATATGAATTTTATTACGGAAATTCAATAATATCGGCTGTAGGTACATAATACTTTTTTTTTATAATATTAAGTGACGGAACGAACAATCACGACTTGTTTGTGTGTCTGATGGTAAGCTACACGCCTGTCCATAACAGTTGCAGTGCCACTCAGAGCTTTAAGTCGCAAAGATTTGAGGGGCACTGCCACTGCGTCCGTCACCCTGAGACATAATGCTGTTATTACTGCTTGGTGGCAGAAATAGATGGCAGTACTTTCCTGGACGAACTCTTTCACAAGGAGCTCTACTGCTACTATAAATGCTGCTAACAAAAATCTAATTTTTAGTCAAAATTAGGCAGATATTTTTTGCTATTTGTCAAAAAGAGACTTCCACATCATTACATTATATCCCAAGCCTTGTCCCAGCCCTAAAATAAAAGAAAGTTAAAGTAAAATAATATTTTTAAATACATCTAAAATTCATTATCGCAAAATGTAGCAGCTAATTTTAGTGCTTTTAGTATACTAAATCCTTTGCCATTATAATTATAGTAGTATCATCGCATAGAAATGTGAATAAATATGTCAAAAACCATTTTTATCCTAGTATATATTAGTGTTGATTTTAGCGTGTCAAATTAATAGTAAATTTAGACAAATTCACAATAAAATAAGTAAAATATGTAGGTACGTTTTTACCATTTATACTGGAATCCATATAGCGTTTATGAAAAATCCCATGCACACGAGTAATATTCCCTTTTAAAATAAACGATTTTGCAAGGAACGCCGCGAGTCGATACATGCACTGCGGGCAATCATTAAGTTCCAATTGATAATGCGGTTGTCATGAAGGGTTTATTGTTCTCTGCCTGTTCCACTTTATCAGGAACCAGTTTTTTTCTACCTGGGCAGACTTTTGTAAAATCGGTTTTTGGCCGGCTAAATCGTAATTTTTCCCCTAGGTGCGTCTCTTGGTATTATAAAGAAAAAAAAAGATACAATAGTCAACCAAGCTAAACCTTCCATCTAATTACTTATGACCACGAAAATATTAACAAAGCAAATTGTAACCACCCCACCCAACCAACCAAACTAATCTTGTACCATAGTACCTACCACTAATTAACATCAGTGTTATCATACAATAGTTATATTTCTTTTCTTTCCAATTATATAGACACCGAAAATTTAATTGAAGTAATGTAGTTCCTGGAGTTCACATACACACTTTCCTACATATACATAAGTACCCACGCATACGTTCCTTTCTACGCATACACACTCACACATACAAGCTTACACACGAACACCTAAACAAGCTCGATTCCGTAAACTTGCTCTTTGATGCCTTTTTTATATATTATTATATATGTATAATTTAATTAAAATACTTTAAAATATTTTTAGTAACATCTCTGTCAAAATTGGGGTAAAATTAATTTTTTTACACAATTAATAAGATTAACATTGGGAACATTAAAAACAATTATAATATTCATATCTTAAAAACAAATTTTGCACAAGTTCATTACAGGACTTATATAGTCTCTCTACAAAAGACTATCGACGCATTCGTAAAAGGCATTTAATAGCAATACTACTTTAATAACAATATTTTTTGTGATTGTCTATATGTGTCCACGGCACCCGCGACACAGGGTTTCCCTAGTGCCGGGCTATGTTGAATGTGTGCGTTATTGAAAATAAATCAAAATGAAAAAACGCATTTTTTTAAATAAAAAAAAATACGTTCTAGTTTGGGGAGCCTGGAATCCTAAGATGTGTCTTAGGCTTCAAGGATGTCTTGATTTTGTTTAGATTCCAGTCTCCAACAGATTTTGCCCTCTATTGAATAAAACGTGATTCTGTCAATAAGTAAAGGCCTCACCGACAGTCACATACCATACCCAATGACAACCCACCTTCGCGCACCTGTCTCGTCGATATTTCGCTATACATTTTTTTTATTATAGAACTTAAAGGGGTGTTTTTTTAACTTAAACATAATCTTACAAAACTGTATATACTGTTTGACGGCAGAATCCAAGTGACTCTCAATTGATGAAAACTGACAGTAGGGTTAAAAGTTTTTAAATAAAATAATTACTTATTGAGTTCTCAGGTTTTCGCGATTGTTACACATAAGAAATGATAGCTACAGCCGTGGCCATGGGACCTTGTGACGGGCCCGAGACGTTGGCTAGTTTAAAAAAGACAAATATAGGTACATGATTTAGACCCGAATTCTATTTTAACAAAAATTTGTGAAATATTAAACTTTTTTTTTAAATTTACATCTTTTTGTTTAATGTCTAAACTAAATATTAGACAACATCACACACGTTGCTCTGAACCTAAAGTAAGTAATTAAAGCACTTTGTAACGATGATATCACAAACACTCAGACCTGAGACAATTAGAAAAGCTACTTACTACATTGAGCCGGCCGGTGTCGAACCCGGAGATCAGAGATGGCGACACGATGAAAACCGGAGCGCAAACCCGTGGTTTGCGCTCTACCACTGAGGCCGTCAAACATCGAATATCGACTGTAATTCGCATTATAATTCATATTCCCAATCTCATGCGTAAAATTTCATGGTGCTTTTTAAATTTAAGATAGGTACTATGTTATTTAAAAGGAATCAATCCTTATATTTGACCTTTTCATACTAAAAATACTTTTTTTTTTCACCTTTCGTCGCTTCGATTCTCAAATGAGGCCAACAACTTATTAAAAGTCTTTTGAGTGCAGTATTACTTACTTTCAAAATATAATATTCATTCCCATGTAGCAAAATAACTCATCTATAATATTTAAAGTACTTTCCCTCCGGGTCGCATATTTAAAGTACTTTCCCTCCGGGTCGCATTGCTTACTTTAAAAAAAAATAATAATAATAACTTTATTGATGGCCATTACAAATAGTACAGAAATAATACAGTAATTATTAGTTATTGATTGATTGCTGACCAGTCAGGCAACATCCAGACCCCACAAAGGATTTAACCTGTGTTAGCAGACAGTACCGTTGCCGCCGCGGCGGGCAAGCATCAATCGAATTTTTATCAGCAAATGGCTTACAGGCAAACTAAAAGGATCTCTGTAAGCCCAAAACCAGTACAATAAAACTGTTTATTTGGGACCCAGAAAAGAATAAAATATGAGAAAGATGTTCAAAGAGTTAGTACAGTTTATAGAGGACTTAGGGTCGTATTCCAGAACTCTACTCATTGCTCAAGTTAGGATTTGAGTATGATTCCAACACTGGAAATACGACCCTAAACGCAAAGACTTGAGTATAATTTCTAGTGCTTTAAATCATACTCAAATCCTGACTTGAGCATTGAGTAGAGTTCTGGAATACGACCCTTAAACTATGTTACATAAATAAATCGCAGTGTATATCAAGAAAGTGGAGTGTAAGTGTAGAGTGTGTTGTGAGTGATACTGGTTCAACAATCAGTGTATGTGTGTAAAATATCTGAGGGTGCGTTATAATTGTTGCTTTTGGATGCATATAAGGTCTTAACATTAGGAGAGTCGGATACCAAAAAAGTTTAGATGAACGTACACAACCTAATTGTTTGATTATTCACTTAAATAAAATTTGTGAGATTACAATAACATCGCCTCTGTGGCATCATAATCATGGCATTTTAACAAAGTTGTCAATTTTTTCTTGATTTCGTAACGGGAAAGAGAGTATATATTAATTTTACTGTTAATGAAGTTATATAGACGAGCGCTGAGAACATGGAAGTGCCTTCCAGCCAAGGTAATCCTATGTTGCCTGTAAGGGCATACATAATTGCATCTACGTTTCCGAAAGAATGTAGGGTCATATTTTAATAGCATATGTTTCCGTAAGATCACCTGTAGTACGTAAAGCTGCCTTTCTGATAGAACTGAGGAGTCGTCGTATAATAGAGAAGTTGGGTACCGATAAGGCTTTTTAAACATAACCTTTAAGACTGACCTCTGAGCTCTTTCCAGTTTAAGCATAATGGTTTAGCCGCCCACCCCAAACCGTAAGACAGTAAGTAAGCAAGGACACACATAGGGCAGAATAAGTCATGTGGAGGGTGTCAGCATCGGCTACGTGCCGGAGGTTTTTAAAAACAGATCAGTTTACGAACTCGTGTAGTCAAAGAGTTTATGTGATTGCGCCAACTGAGGGTTTGGTCAATAGTTACACCGAGATATTTAACTTCCTTAGTGGCTGTAATGTAAGGACAGGTACAATTATGACTTGCAGTTAGGCAAGTATGGGCCTTTATATACATATATTTATTTTTACCATAAAGCTATAAAATGTTAAATGTAAATTGAACTATTATAGTAGTCACTACGCCCGTGTTTCTCATTAAATGCCGCCATTATTTTCAGAACATATATGTATATACATAAAACATATACACCTACATATATTTACAGGGTTATTTGTAAAATACTATCAACCTCTACTGTCAACCTTGCGGGACTATGTTACTAATATCATAAACAACTTTGAGTATACAACACTTAATAACTCTTTTCCACGACTTTTAATAATTCATGTGGTTTTACTTTCACATAAAAATAAAAATATTTAAATAGATCGCTCTAACCGGAACCTCTGTAGTAACAAAAGCCAACGCAGTCCGATGCAAAACGAAGGAGCAGGTTGAGGGTTGTTGAGGGGACGCTTGCACGTTTGAATTTACTACCAAACGTAGATCTACAAAGTGGGAGATAGTACAACAAAAATGTACTGTTTACGTACAGGGTCAAGAGCACGTCAAGCTTGACACTTAAGACTTAAATCCAACTCTATGCCGCTTACGATAAGAACGATCCAAAGTACAAAGTGTTAAGCTTGATGTGCTTTTGACTGTACAAGTTTCTATTTGTGCAAAGCTTTGCGTAGCCAATTTAATGTTAGTTCAGTTGACGTTATTACGCAGTCGCTATTGGTCACGTTAACATCCGTTATAACTTTTGTTTTAAACTTTTAATAAATCTTTAAATTTTCTACAAAACTCACCCAAACTAACTACAACTTTCAATTAAGGCTCAATTTACATTGCCGCGGGACGGAAGCGTCAATTTCGCCTCGCCGCGCGAGAAGACACGCTGTCACTGGAATGCTCGCGACTGCGCCTTGAGGCTGTAGCATTTAGTATTCGTGGACGTTTGACGTCACACTGCGTCTGCCTTCGCGTCACATCCCGCGGACTCGCCAGGCGTCACCTAGGCAACTGAGGAAATTCCCGCGAATGCGCGAGCATTCCCGAGCATGCGCGACTTGTTTTTTGGCTCATATCTAGTTTACAATGTACAATTTCGTTACAAAAATTCGCTTCCATTCCGTTCCGCCGCAAAGTAAATTGACCCTAACTAATTGCAACCGAGACGTCCAAGGCAATGTATAAAACTTAAAAGTTTATTTTTGCTTAGTGTTTTGTGAAAAGTAGGTACGTCCTTTATATCGACTACATGTATCTTTATCCCTGTTGGTTAGGCATGTTACCTGTATGGCATGGTATTTCAACACATGGTTAACAACATTATATAAATATCATACATTAAACTTCATCCGACGCCAACTGTTCTTCCTCAGGCGTGTTAACGTCTTCCGTGCTTGGCACCTCTATATCCGTTTCCGGAATGGTGTTTGGCAAATCTGACAACTCTACGCCGGCGCTTCGAAGGAGGGCCAACAACGTCGCTAAAGCACTAATTAACTGAAAAGAAAAGCCACAACATTCTTTTTTTTACTTTAGTAGGTAGTAGCTGACTATCCATTTACAAGGATTTATAAATTGAACTGGTAAGGAAAATTGGTATACGTTTTAGTATTGCCCATTTTATAGCCGCCCAAAATTTAGGGACTTTTTAAATTAATATTTTTAGGTCTGACCTGTGCATCACTTTTCTCAATTTGCAAAAGCTGTGCAACAATGCCGGCTTCTTCAACTGCGTTACTCAATCGGCCTGCTCGCGCGTGTCGCCCAGCCAGGTTTAGTCTGATGAGAGGATCATCTGGTCCAAGCGCAGCCGCCCTAGCGTACGCGGCGTCGGCTCGACTGTCCCCTAGACGTTCTAAAGCTACTGCGATCAGCAGTACCTAATGAATAGATATTGCAAATATAATTAACGTCTATATACGTCGCTAACGCATCGTCAGTATTCTATTAGGCAGTACGCCTGTCATCAGTTTTTGAAGCTGGCAGGTACTTCACATTTTGAAATCTTGTCGTGTCTAGTCAACTTGCATAATAGTGAACAACAACACATACATGCTGTTATGCCTGTCTCCCAGTGGGTCAGGAAGAGACTATAGAACGAGGGGTCTACATTTCAAATTGAGAATGTCCTTAAACAAATCCAAGTCAAAAGTAACAATAATAAACCTCCGTGTTTGAAGCGAGTGAAAGAAACAAAAAAGTTTTTTTGCGTAACGGGTTCATAGTATTTACCTTCCCCAGTGAACAATAAACCATTAAATATTATCTTGTAGACAAGTAGTGATAATATGGAGTAAGGTGACAACCGAATGGTGGGCAAGAGGAGTGTACATAAACGTATAAATGTGACGTCCTGCAATGAGATAGGCAGACAACAATATCCAAAGTCGAGAATGGGCGAGACTATATAGCGCAGGATCGTGGTGAATAGCACAAACTACGGAAGACAATTGATGAAAACGGCCGGACTTACAGTGTAATGCTGTGTAGGTTGCAAAGCTGCGGCAGTTGCAAGCCTGCAGAAGGCGGACGCCGGGCGCTTGCACAACAACAGAGCAAGTCCCAAGTTATGAGCGGCTCGACCGCTTAATGGCGCCGCCCATACTGCGCGCTGAAGACATGTGAGTGCCTGTTAATGAGAAATTAAATTGTGACTAAAACACTCTTCGATCGATCAATCTTGTAAGCCTACTTGACCGACAATGAGAAAATCATTCCCTCCCGACTTCCGTCTACCACCTTAGGTCTCTTGGCGTCAGACGTCGCTTACACATTTATACAAGGTGTCTATTAAGTCGTTAAGACGTCAAGCCGGGACGGGGATGTTAAATAGGTCATAGGCTACAAAAAAGCCCTTGGTACTATGGTAATATTCCTAACGGGTTTTTTTAATTAAAGATTTTACACACATTACGATTTTTACGTTTTTACACCTTTGGACGCGACTGTACTTAAAGATAATTGTCTTTTTTCAAAACGGTCCGATCTAGCTGCAGTTCCCGTGCTAGTCAGTCGGTTCCATTGTGTGTACCTGCGCGGATTTATCTCTTAAACTGTAATTGTGACTTGATTCAGTAAACCAATTTGTGTGGTTGAATCGGAACTTGTGGGCCGGCTTCACAGCTTCTCGACTGATTGGCCTACACTGCTGCCTTCCAAAGTAACTGCTGCAATATGCTTGCGTCATCTGCAAAACCACCACCATGAGATACTAGGAGGTGAAGAACCAGAAGAACTATTAGTCTACCAGCACGATGGTGCTCCTCCGCACTTCGGTATAGCTGTACGAAGGCACCTGGACGAAGTTTTCCCCGATAGGTGGATGGGTCGCGGTGGACCCATTTCGTGGCCAGCCAGGTCACCTGACCTTAATCCTGTAGATTATTTTTTATGGGGCTTTGTAAAAGAAACTGTGTATCAGACTGTTCCTCAGTCCAGGCAAGAATTTGCAGACCGCTTAAATAGCGCCTTCGCAGCTCTCCGTGGGAATCCTCAAATGCTGCGGAAGGCCGCTTAATAGGGCCATGATTAGGCGGTGCAGACTGTGTATTAGGGCCGGCGGCCGCCATTTTGAACATTTATTGTGAAAAATATATAAAAATGTAAATTGCAATTGTTACAAAAATATAAGTTTTGATTTTCAAATATTTTATTCCTTAGTTTGAAGTCAGAAACCACCGCCATGAGCGGCACTAACCATCTTAGACACCAAAATCACAAAAAAAAATAGGTTTTTTACACTTTAGCAAATATTCCGTTTATTGCTGTAATGACGACCTGTTTGATGAAATTTTGAATAAAACCTAACTAAAGTAGATAGGTACGTAATTTTTTTTAGTAATTAGATGAATAAGTAGACAAGTTTTTACAATTAAGTGCAGATGCGGTGTCACACATTTTAAATTTTTTTAACATACCCATTCAAATAGTTAAAAAAAATTGATATCTTTTTTCATACTTCTTGATATATTTAAAATAACTTTTAGTGAGGAATTTAATTTAATACATAGCTCATTAAAAAGCAGATTGATTTAAGATAAGACAACGAAGGATACAAAAAGACAATTATGTTTGCGTACAGTCGCCTCCAAAGGTGTAAAAACGTAAAAATCGTAATGTGCATAAAATCTTTAATTAAAAAAAACCCGTTAGGAATATTATACCATAGTACCACAGACTTTTTTGTAGGCCATGATCCTTGGCATCCCCGTCTCGGCTTGACGTCGACTTAATAGACAGCCTGTATATTCTACATTATTTATATTATGGTTAGGCTACATATCGTTTGTGATTCGGTACATCCTTTCCTAAGCAAAGGGCATAGAGGGAAACTCGTTAAGTAATTTCCCAAGGTGGAGCCGGAGACTGCGGTCGCTGGCGGGTTCGCGGTAGTTAGCATAGTAGAATAAGAACAAGTAAGGCAACTCCGTACCCATAACAGCGCGGCGGGAGCGCACAAATACGTATACGTCGCGCTACGACGTTTAATGTAGAGTTACAATACCTACATCTTCTCATTCTACAATGCCGTTAGATTGTAAGTCTGAGACTCCAACCTCGCCACTTTCCGGGTGGAGGGTTTCCATGAGGATTCTACTGACGTAAAAACTTGATAGATCGTAGGGACCAATTGAGAACCTCCTTCTTTCTTTAACGTTGGTTCAAAAGATTTGTCGTTACCACCACATTTTGTACGAAATCTATAACAGATGTTAATGTATCTCATATCATACAAAATTCTTACAGCAATATACTTTTTCTTAACCAACAAGGCCAACCCAAGATTGGTGTGCGCAGCAACACAAGTCGGATGCGCAGTTAACGCAGCTTTCAGCCTAGCGAGAGCCGCGTCCACGTCTTTATGCTGCAGCATCATAGCAGCCAGAGCTAGGGCTGCAGCATGCTGAGTCGGCTGTTGAGCCAATGCAGCGCCTAAGAGCTGAAAGGCGCGACGAGGGTCACCAGCTCTAAGCTGCAGAGTTCCTGCTGCTGCTAGTGTATCTGCTCCACATGCGTGAGCACTGAAATAAAAAAATATAATGACATTGTAAAAGTACTTAGTAATATTTTGTTTTGCGATCATTACACTGAAAGTGTAACTAAATTTTAGACATCTTTTCGAGGTTTGTTAAAAAAATCACCAACCAACAACGGCCCACACTCCTGGCATTATTAATTATTTATCCAATTGAAATGCTTATTAATAATAATAATAACGCACACACTCAACATAGCCCCGCACTACGTGGGTGCCAGGACACAAATTACACCCAAACTCTCCAGAGAAATAAATGTAGGCCACACAAATATTTCTCCCGGCCCAGGAATCGAACCTGAGACGTGACAGTCCGGCATGGTAACCGCTCAGCCACCGAGGCAGTTAAATTTTTAAAATTGAACGCTTAAGTTTCACGCGTCAACAAATCTTGTTTATGGCCTGGACTTAATACCTGAGTTCCTGTGTTATAATAGTACCTACCTTGAACAACTGATACATTTATACCTATCAGTAATTATCTATAAGATCATTGCCTGTTCGCATTTCCCCTAGAGTTTCTTGCTCATTCTTCTCAGGGGAATTTGCCTTACGAATGAGCGGTAGAGTTTAACCAATGTGACGATTTCAAGTGTAATAATGGTTACCTATGAAATAATGATTATTTGGATTTTGATTTTGCAATACCGTTCGTACTGGGTTGAAATGATTGTATAAAGTTAGTAAGTCTTCCATTCGAATTTTCCAAACACGCACTAAAATTGACATCAGTTGAATATAATATAATCTAAAGATTCATACCGGATGTAAACGTAATAAATCTTTTTTTTTACAAACCATATCCACCTAGGGCTACAGGAAAGATCTCTATCTATCTAGGTTTTGCTCATGTGATACGAAGAAGTTAGGTACTAACGTGAGCGCCTGATCGTAGGCTGCCAGCGCGCCATTGACATCCCCACTTGATAATAACAATCGCGCCAACAGAGATCCCGCACGCTCGCCTCCCCCCGCCTGCACTGCTGATCGTGCCCATTCCACCCCACGCTCAATATCTCCTAGCTTCCATGCACACTCCGCTGAAATCATAAGCCGTGAACATCGAGTATATCACCAGAAATAGAGACGAAACCACAAATTAGAAAGCTGAAATAGTACAGCGCCAACAACTGACCTGTGTGTACGTCGCCGTATATTCCAAAAATATCCTGTATTTATTGTAACAAAGATAATAATCTCTAACTATGGCGGGCTGTTCCATTCGGAGGTGTGGGAAAATAAGCAAAACATCTAATTACAAAACAAACGGAATCACATTTCATCGGCAATTAAATAAGTACCTAAATTTTTTAATTTTAGTCCGTTATAGCAAAGCTCAAGTTAAACTGGTCGATTTGAATTCGAATTGATTACGAACAAAGTCGAATTAGAGCTGGCCAATCGAAGCGCAGTTGTCATCGTAATGATTTGGCAGAATAGTTTTCAAACAAATTAAATGACATTTCGTCTCTATTTCTGGTTATATATGCGATGGCCGTGAACTACGAAACTAAGTGTTCTTTATACATATAGTAGATACCATAAAATATTAAGGTTTTTAATAAATGTAATGGAAATTATAAAAACATTACACAGGGTATTGCAAATTATTTGTACCGTCCACAGCTCTAATGTAAGCTTGACACTTTGGGTAGCCTCATCGCAAACGGCATTAAGTTGGTTTTAAATCTAAAGTATCACGTAAAGGTGCACGTGAAGGTGTTATTGGGTACCCTTCACGTGCTCCAGACCTTTGCATTCACGAGTTTGGTTTAATCACAACTAAGTATTTTAAAGCTATTATGCTACTTATTTTTCATTTGCGTTGAACTGGTTAGTGTTAGTACACTAAAATTAGACAAAGAAAGTAAAACTAAAATGTTGTAGGTATGTTTACAAGTATGCATACCGAGAGCGCTGTAGATATCGGCATCCGGATATTTTGTTAACTTATCAGCCTCGAGGTAAGCTTCTAGAGAAAGTTGAAAACGGCTCTGGTGAAATCTGAAATTTTTGGTACACTTTAGGTCGCGTTTCTTCAACACGAATTTCATCGCGCTACCTCGCGCGGAGACCGTGTGGCCACCATGGCATAACCTAACCTCCGGTTAAAAAAACCGACCTCAAAAGTCATTCATACCCTAGTTTGCCACCCTTAGAGGTAGAATATTTTCTTGAAATTAAAATGGGACCACATCTGGAATGCAACAAAAAAGAATCATCAAAATTGGTTCACAAATGGCGGAGTTATCGTGTAACATACATACAAAAAAAGCATACAGACAAATTGAGAACTTCCTCCTTTTTTTGAAGTCGGTTAAAAATACGCTCTATTTATTTAGCTTTTACGTTTTAACTTAAATGAGAGGCTGGCTAGTCTTTTCGTCTTTTCGTTCGTCCGTGCGGCGAACGCGCGGTTGTATTATCGGAGGAATTTAAATGTTATTGCCTAGTAAATAGAATTCAGATTCGCTATTAATGTACATGAAAGCGTGGTAACTGGACGGTTACCGCGCGGTGTCCACACGAAAACTTTCGCGTCGTGTAACTGGGCGCTTAAGGTTATTAGAGTTTATTTAACAACTAATTTGGGAGGCATCTAGGTATATAAAGCACACTTGGTTAGTCCAAATAATTTAAGTACAGGGTCAAGACCACGTCAAGCTTGGCACTTAAGACTTAAATCCAACTCTATGCCGTTTACGATACAAACAGTCCAAAGTACAAAGTGTCAAGCTTGATGTGCTTTTGACAGTACCGCAGACCGGACCGCCTTGACAATTAAAAACTTTATCTAACGTTAACTTACAAGCATTTGGCGACTTGTTTCAAAGGCTCAGGGTCCTGTGGCTGAAGCCTGATGCAGCTGTGGAATTTCTCGAAGGCTTCCTGAAGTCGGCCTGCGTCAGCCAAAACTGAACCCTATCAAATATTAGCGGCCTTGTTCTTAAAAGATATTTTCTTCAAATATTTCAAAGTTAGATTTTGGCTGCACAAGATATGCATAAGAGATTGTTAGGGAATCAACACACATTTCCGCTTGAACTGGTCAGAAAAAGCTATATACCTATCCAAGCAATAAGAGCGAAAAAGATTGCGCTTTTCGATTCCGCTCGAACCGACGCGGAACACAAAATGTTGGTCATTGTACTAATTCAATTATCAATTCATCTTCCCTTGAATATAACACCACATCAAGCAAGCGTTAATACACGAATGAGTCGAGTTTAGTCTGGATTTTCACCATACCCGTACCGAATAATAAAGTAAACTCTCGGGAGCAAACCTTACACGCAACGTCTGCTTCGATCTCATTACACAGACATAAAGCTGTTTCTGACCGGCTTAATCCGTGTCGGCTTCATAATTAAGTGTGATGACTCTCTTATGCTACATTGCTGCATTTGCAACGGTATCTTTCCGTCCGAGCTAAGCCGCCGGTGATACGCCTTTGCCTACGTCTCTGGGGGACCCGGACTTGGGTATGAACTCTCTGGGGTTTGTGGTTAGCTGCAGCGATGGACATGTTTGTCTGCCCGGCCCCGGTTGCATGTGTCCGGGGCGTCTCTCTCGTGAGCAGCTGCGCGTCTTAGTAGCGGTCTAGTTGAGGGCCTAAAGCGAGGAGACGCGCGGGTCACGTGAGTTGCCCTTTAAGTTGGAAGCTATGTCAGAACATTGTCGCAGGACACTGCGACTGGCATCTCCGGCACTAGCCCGGAGAGCTAGTAGAGGATAAGCTAGATATCCTTCGGTCCCTCCAACCGCTTAGGTTATTGGGAACTGGAGAGACGTCGTTTTTCGGCATCGGGAAGTGAGCGTGCCTTACAGCTCCGCCAGCAATGAGGAGTAATGGACTCAGAGTCGACGGCTTAGCGGTGGCAACCGCTAGTTGCGCAATGCGCAACGGGAAGTGAGCGTGTCTACAGCTCCGGTACCTATCTGGAAAATAGGGAGGGTACTGTACGTGCACCCGGGGCGGCTCACCCGAGGTACTAGCCTCTCAAAGAACCGGATGAAGTCAAGTGACAGAGGTCTGTGACAACTCTGTACACTGGCTGATCTGGGGTCAGAACCTAAACTTATAAAGTTCCTGTGCGCGCACAGGTTATGTGCCCTTCTCGTATAGGCATAGGTTAGATAGGGAGGGAGGGTCACTATAATCAAAACTAACGTAGAAAGATATGGAGCTTGTTTCCTTTAGTAGGTTACAAACATTGAAATATTTACAATATTAAGAACCTTTATAAAATGCGCGTATCTGTGCGTATTGCTGGTTTGTCTCTGTAAATCATCCGCTAAATCTATACACTGCGCGTGCTCGCCTCTAACATATCGCGCGTGAAGCAACCAGTTCCGCGATCCTCGCCCGAACTCTACAACAACATCAGGTATTAGAATCGATTATTTAAAATTTGTACAGGGTTAGGAGCACCTCAAGCTTGACCCCTACGGTAAATTCAACTCTATGGCGCTTGCAATAACTACTGTTCAAAGTCCAAAGTGTCAGGCTTGATGTGCTCTTGACTGTACACAATAAAAAAAACAGTAGCAATAGCAAATGTAACTACTTTCTTTTTAGTTACTGTTGCTTTAATTTTTCTTAACTTTTTCTTTATTAACATAACTTTAAAAAACTACGAGAAACCAACCGTTATCAACCATTTTTTCGGTTGAAATAGTGTGCTTTTTCATTTTACTATACTGAATAATGAATTAAATAAATAAGTAAATGTTTTCATTTGCAACAGCATTGTTTGAAACCCAGATGCTATGGTAACGAATAACAGACTAACTACGGCGTACACTCATTTCTAGACATAAATTTTAGGTATCCATATATTAAATATATGTTTCTAAAAGATACTACTTGTATAATATTTATTAAGATAAATTTATTACATTTTGATACCTATGTATTGGGAATACATAAATACAATACATTAACATCTAATCTTAACGTAACAAATACAAAATATCGTTCAAAAACTAACATCGTAAAATTATTTACGTTCATCAGCAAATTAAAAATTTCCCGAACGATTCGGCGGTGACAAATCAAAAATTGACAAGTTGCAATAGAACTTTATCTTATCATTATTACAAAAAGTTATTAAATTTCCAAGTGATTTTTGCGAAAATTGCATTTGTGTCCTATTAATTTAACTATGGAGGATATGGCTCGGCTTGCTCTGGTCGAGCAAAACGTTCAAGATGCAGAGACATTTAGTAAAATACTGTACGAACTTCTGACACACATTACCCATATTTTGGACAATCCCCATGATTATGAGCTAAGAATAATAAGAAGCGAGGTTCTGAAGACTGTTTTGAAGTATGAAGCATTTGTGGATTACCTAAAATCTATTGGTTTTCAACCGGTAAGCGTTTTTTGCAACACTCCAGATCAACTTGATAATATGGTTGTTTTACCTGTACCCGCATTTAAAATATAGGTACCTGTAGGCTATTTAAAGGTTAGTCCAAAACCAACAGTCGTAAGTCCACAGAGATGGAATTTATAGTAAGTAGAATGAGATTTTTTAGAGAAATCCCTTTAAAAGTTAATAACTGTTGAGTAGCTGACTGCAAAGGAGAGATGAAGTGGGGGAGGAAGTTATGAGCAACAATGTAAACTTGGATGTGAGTACATTAACAATTTTTAAGATACTAGTCTCGTCTGAAGTCTAACCTGTTGAATTTTACCTGGGAAGTCCAAGCGGCTGTCTTAGTCTTTAAATCCATGTCAAGCTGAGTGAATTTGGCTCAAAACTTGTCTTATGCAGTAATTTTCAAATAACAGATATAGTTTTTAGTACAGAAAGACATTCTGTATTATTGTGGCAAGGTGCAGCGACTGCTTGAGGCAGCCAAACCTCAAAACTTACTTGATAAGGTGGTGTCACCATTTTAAAATTTACTTATATTTCGTTTCAATCCATTTTGAACAAAAGTAAACAAACAAGGCACTGACCCAACCATAGACGATTAGTGGTGGCCAATTGTAACGCCAACTACAAATTGATTAATTAATCAATTGAATGATTAAATCAATTTGTTCAATTGAGTCATACTAGCAATTTTCCTTATATAACCTATATAAGCATATTTAAAATTTCAATTTAAATCCTCCTTCAAATCCTTACACTTAGATACTCGCTTGATTGCGATTGAGATGTTCGCTTTAATAATCAATTACTAAAGTGTAATTGATTGAACTGAATGTTTTTTTTTCGAACAGCACTATGCAACCATAGGCAAGTCATATAAGTGTAGGTGAATAATAACCTCACTTTTGGGCTACCATTTTTCAAATATGATTTCACTATGCTATTCAAATGAATATTGTTGAAAAAAGTGATGATATATCAAGTCGAAATCTTCGAAATATAAGTGAAAGTGTTACTCATTCAATTTATTGAGTGATTACTTTAGAATTTTAACCAAACAGGTTTGTTTACTTTTTGTTCAAAATGGATTGGAACAGACTTTAGTTGATTTTTTAATTATTTTTTAAAATATGTTTTGAAATCATTACCATAAAAAAATCTTTGATTTCCTAAAACTATGCATCAGTGGTCTTTTGACTAAGTCTATTCCCAAAACTATGCAACCAATTTAACAGTCCACATCTATTTTACAGTTGAACCAGTGCGTCACCTTACAACGAAAACCAATTAAATCGAAATTTTGACGAAAATGACTTAAGAATGCCAAAGTACTTAAAATTTTGTCGTTTTTCGTCTGCGAAAACCGATTAATCGCTAAGTCTTATAGTTTCGCTGCTACCTAATAAGATAAACGATTATTTCAACCATTACCAAGGTTTGTTTTCAAATACAAAACATTAAGCATAATTAGCTTGACTGCTGACATATTTGTCTCCAATGATTGTCAGTTAATCTGATAAAATTTGGTTTTCTTCAGATAGAGCTCATGAAATACTCAATTTTTCCCTCAGTAACAATCATTTACTAAGATTTAAATCTCCATTCTAGATTAAAATGGTCAAACAAAAGCTATTATAGCAGTTTCCTTCAAACGAGGCGTGAAGAGGCATATTGTAGGCAGGCAGGGTGGAGGCGGCTAGTGCAGTGAGGATTCCATCGCTGCACTAGGTTCCTTCGCGTTTGGATACCACTTTCCTTTTAACATCAGGTGGAGTGGAGTCATTTGCCTGTCAGGTATAAAAAAAAAAAAAAAAAAAAAGTTTAATTGATTTTACCTGACGAATTCCATTTTAACATTACAATCTAATCGGCTAAGAAAATATTGTATATCAAGATAATTGTTTTTCTCTGATAATACTTATTCAAGGATGCAACTTAATTACTACAGCGAAAAATGATTTAACCTGATTAATTTGTTTTACCTGAAGAATTCCATATTAATCAATACAAGATTGTAACGCTAACTAACTGTAACGAAAATATTGTATATCTAGATAATTGTTTTTCTCTGAGACGATACCTAGTCACGGACAAACACTAAAACTTTAACCCTAGATAGGAAGAGAAGAACCACAAGAGCGTATTGGACACAATGTTCTTTTGAAATAGAAAATGAAAGGGTCATTGTGTGGCAAAAGTTTTTTTTTGCACTACCCTTTACATCAGTCAAAGCGTGGTACAAAATGCTGTAAAAAATAAAGATTTTGTTGGACAATACAGTAAAGATAAAGACCCTCGTGGAATGTGCGTGGCACATAATAAGACACCTGAAAAAGTTCAAGAGGTCCATGACCACATACAATCGTTTCCATCCATGGAGAGTCATTACGTAAGAAAGAAGTCTAAACGTCAATATTTGGATAGAAAACTATCTATTGCAAAGATGTACAGTCTTTATGTTGACGAATGTAAAAAGAAAAACAGTAAACCTGTCTCTGAGATAACATATCGGAGAATGTTTTGCAATGATTTCAATTTGGGATTCTTTAAACCGAAAAAGGGCCAATGTCTGATTTGCACTAAATATGCACGAAGTGATACTAAAGATAAAACGGAACTCGAAAAACAATTTGCTGAATACAATGCCAGGAAAGAGGCTTGTAATAAAGAAAAGAAAAATGATAAGATAAGAGCCGGTGATAATAAGGAATTTTTATCTGCTTCTTTTGATTTACAAGCCATACTTCAGATACCTGGTGTAGACATCGGTCTTCTATATTACACGCGCAAATTAACTGTCTATAATTTGACAGTATACGAGAGTGCTCTTCCAAACCATGCATATTGTTTCACTTCTGATGTTTTAAATATAAAAAAAAATATTGTAAATGCTATTTACAAAGAGCAACCCCTAGAGTTTCTTGCTCATTCTTCTCAGGGGAATCTGCCTTACGAATGAGCGGTAGAGTTTAACCATTGTGACGATTTCAAGTGTAATAATGCTTACCTATGAAATAAAGATTATTTTGAATTTGAATTTGAATTTGGTCAGAAGTAAATGGCAAAAAAGGTAGCGCGGAAATAGGTACTATTTTGTACCACTACTTGTCGAATTGCATTCCAAATTCTGTGACTGAAGTAAGCCTTTTTTCTGATACCTGTGGCGGGCAGAATCGGAATAAGAACGTAGCGGCAATTCTACTCTGGGCTGTTCAAAAAATAGAAAACTTGCAAATCATTGAACAAAAATTCCTTGAAAGTGGACATTCACACATGGAGGCAGACTCTATGCATAGCGCTATCGAGACGGAACAAAAATATACAGATATCTATTCAATGCCAGATTGGATAAAGGTATTTAAGAAAGCAAGATCAAAAAAAGTATATATTAAGAAAGAAAATAAGAAAGTTGTTAAGAACCCATACGTTGTGAAAGAATTCAAATATGATGAGTTCAAAGATTTAAAAGATCTGTCCAACAAAATTTTGTTAAATACAAAAATAGACACAGAAGAAAAGCAAGTTAAGTGGTTAAAGATAAAGCGACTGAGATATATTAAAGGAGAAAACAAAATATTCTATAATTACGTTATGTCAGAGAATTTTTTCTGCAATTGATGTTAGTAAAAAAAGAAAAGGAATGAAAGAAAAGGAAGTAAAGCCAGTGAAAACTTAGATTCTGAGCAACAAAGAGAACATAATTACGGAACAAGAAATAGAAAGAAAAGGACTGTGGACGAAGCGGCAATGTCCGTGATTTCTGAAAGATCAGAAATCAGTGACGTGCAATATTTTCCTGATAAACTATTGCAGCTCTACAAAAAAACCTTTATCTATAAGTGTTGCAAAAAAGAGAGACTTGCTGCTATTATGCAGCAAAGGCGTCATACCAGAGGGGTACCATCCCTGGTTCAACAATTTGAATAGCGATGCTGATTGTAAAGACAGGGTACCTGATTGCACAGTCTCTGATGACGAATCTGCAATATCTTCGGATGATGACTAACAACAACCCAATACAAAATAGTTAATTTTTTTAAGTACCTACCTAACCCTGGTATTCTATTTTTACTGTCTTAATTTTAATTATATTTGATTATAATTGTAATGACATATTATTCTCAGTTTGACCTAACTAGAAGATAAAAATGCTTAGTCATAAACAAATTAGATAATTTTGTTTAGAATTTAATTAAGTTTATCAAAGTAAAAATAGTCCTTGTTTGATTTTCTAATTTGATTATTATTTCAATTACCTGTTCTCGATACCTAGCATATGTAAATGCTTAATGTAGATGCGCATTAAAGATAATATTTTATTTAGAATTTGAAAATATGCAAAGTCGCAGGACTTTGCATATTTAAATTTTTCCCAAAAATGTTATCCCATGGAAATTTCGGGAATTTTTTTATCCAAGTAAGATTATCATAGGTCACAAAGGTACATTTATGTAAAATTTTAGACGTCTAGCGCAATAATATTGGATTTGCTTTGGTATGTCAGTCAGTCAGTCGGTCACTCAATAATAAGTCAGTTTTTCCTTTATTTACATTTTTTTTGGTACATATTACTGGCAATTGAAACGCGATTTTATTGTTATTTGAACTAATCAAGCTAATTTGTACTTAATTAATTATTTCGACTTATAAAGTTGATAACAAAGGAACGTACTGAAACTCTAATAAACAACTTACTTAATTTTTTAGATTCTTAAATTTTCTGCAGGGAAAACCAATTATCTTGATACATTTTCACTTGTAACTTCACAAGGGACAGCTTAGTATTTTTTTATCATGGTTAGTCTTAATTTACTGAAAGTAAAAAGTAATTTCGCGGGATTTGCCGTATTCCTATTGCCTTAAAAGATATAGACATTTATCAGTTCTCAGGGAAAACCAATTAAATGGGTGACCTTGTGACAATTATTGAAATTTTCATTACAAAGCAATAATTTTTTTAAACCTCAATGGACATGTTCAAATAGAACGTTTTATTAATGTACTGATGCTATAAAGCAAAAATAACAATATAATACTAAAAAGGGTATTTTCAAACCCGCAAACTTTGTAATCGCGATATCTCCGTTTGCACTTTTTATGATTTAACTGGTTTTCGTTGTAAGGGGGCGAGTGTACATACATACTTGTCAAGTATATTGAATATTATTGCAATCCTTGAATTTTTTTAGATTGGGGATAACTACACATACCCAAAAGAGCAGACTCTGAGCAAACTACGGATGGCCCAAGCAGCAATAGAGAGAAAAATCTATTTCTGCTGTGGGTCTTTGAATCACTGTGAGGGCAGAGTTAAATCTGGCGTAACAATACCTCTAGCAAGAAAACAAAAACTAATGCCTGTTAAAGTGTTGGTACGTATGATGTTTAATGTTGTATTCATAGAGACCGAACAAATCTGACGTGTGCGCTGCGTGCGTGCTGCATGCGTGTTATTTTTTAAATCTCATTTCACACAAGGCAAGCTAGCATAGATGGCACGGGAATGGCACGTGAACTGATTGCACTACGTAATGCATTTGTGCAGCTCGCGAGCCTATCACAAACAAGCTCATTCGCCAGATCTGTACGCACCCTTAAATGGATCACCACTTGAGTTTGAACTTGTATGTTTACTATGTGCAGACCATGTCAAATCTTTATGCACAATATTGTACAATGTTACTATTATAAGTACCCAAAATGTCCAGCTAGAATCAAATAAATATATACTCAGTTATCAACACATTGAAATTGAAGGCGAGTAGACAGTTATGTGGGTCCAATGTTTAATTTTTGTTGTCAGAATTAGTATGTTTATGAATAGTTTTTTAGATCAAAGTTTGTATAAAGATCTACTTGTCTGTTCAATTCAAATTTTTTTTGTAACAGCAGTTGTGTCGAAAGCATCTCAATATGGGTATTTAACAGTATTTATTTATAATTTTTATTTTAATGGTAAATATTACAGAAAACAGATTAACAATTTTATTTATAAACAATGAAAGTAAAATATTTCCCCCATATTCACCATATTTCCCCAAATGCAGTGAAACGGAGTGCGTGTGTGTGTGTGTGTGTGTTTGTGTGTGTGTGTGTGTGTGTGTGTGTGTGTGTGTGTGTGAGTGTGTGGTGTGTGTGTGTGTGTGTCTATGTGTGTGTGTCTATGTGTGTGTGTCTGTGTGTGTGTCTGTGTGTGTGTGTGTGTGTGTGTCTGTGTGTGTGTGTGTGTGTGTGTGTGTCTGTGTGTGTCTCTGTGTGTGTCTCTGTGTGTGTCTATGTGCGTGTGCGTGTATGTGTGTGTACCTTTAATGAATCACAAGTATTGATAGGTATCTTTAATGCACGTCGTCACAAAATACACAGGATGTCGCCATCCTTCTTTCACATGTAATAATAGAGAAATGATGTGCCTAATGAAAACATAATTTTGTCTCTTATAGACCACCACAAACCCGTTCCTATTAAAGCTACAGACTTTATTCAACGGTGTCTTAGACTATGAGAATGATGAACTTCAGGCATTAGCACGAGATCAAATACCTATAATGACACTCCAGTTGATGGCCTTGGACTCCTGTCGGGAACACCAGAGGAAACTGAAGGCTGGTTAGAAGTTATATTTTGGTAGCTATGGCCCCACCAGAGGGGTCCACAGCACGTTAAAGGCGGTAGGGGTGGCATTCACCAGTTTTCTTTTATATATTTTTGTCAATATGCAATTTATTCTTGTTTGGGGTCATAAGCAGTTCATGTCAAACATTCCTTCCAACATAATTGATTAGTGGAAGAAATTATCATTTCAGTCAGTTAAGTTATTTTGTTGTATGATCACATTCTCATGTGGTCAGTCAGTTTGGTACTATTATCTTAGGAATGATTAGAATCATTCCCAAAAATAGAAAAATGTAAAAAGGTGTTGCGAATGAAAGAATTTTCCTACATCAAAGGAAAATCGCTATACAAGTAATCTATTGATTTCCTAACTAACAGCAATCATGTGTAATTTTTGTCAATCTTTAAATTTAGTTTAGTTTAAATTTAATTTAATTTTTTTTTACATGTTTGCTTAATCTTCTTTAGAAAGCCAGAATTACTTTTATATGTATTGTGTAAAAGATTAAGTTGGGAAATTTATTTCAAACGCATTACATAGTAAGTAATTAATCTTTATAGCTAAGGATTACGAAGCAATAAGAGGGATAGTACTAATATATCAAACGTATTTTTTCAGGGGAAATGGATGGTCAGGACCTGCCGTTCGACAAAGCGTTGCTGCTGGAACTATTGGGCTGGTTCAAGTACAAGTTCTTTTCGTGGGTAGACCAGCCACCGTGCGAGACTTGCGGTGGGCCCACCAAGCACTACAGAAACTCAAATATCGTTACGGATAGTGAAATTTGCCGGGTTGAGGTACTTGGGTTGCTTCTACGCTTGTAGAAAGTGGAATGACATTAGAGCATGAATAACGCAAACCCCCGACGGCAGCACTACAAGTGCACGCGCTGCGCAGACGGCGCGGCGGAGTTCCCGCGCTACAACGACGTGCGCACGCTGCTGCGCACGCGCCGCGGCCGCTGCGGCGAGTGGGCCAACTGCTTCACGTTGCTCTGCCGCGCGCTGGGCTACGACACGCGCTATGTCTACGACACAACGGACCACGTCTGGTGCGAGGTGCGGCCAACCACTGTTGTACTAGCGATGCGCGATTGTGAATGTTTTCGTTATTGGACTCGTTAGTAATCGCTAATCCTGTCATTCGAATGTTAAATTAGTAACCATTGACTTATAAATAAATGGATGACGGGTCTAATACAAAAACCACGAAAAAAATGTCCCAAGTCAACCTATTCGAAATTTAAATTGTAATGTCATCGCAGTATCGCGCTGTCAGTCGAACAAATGAAGACTAAAGCGGAGTTTGGCGCTCTGTATACGATTTTAGCGCCTTACAAGTGCGGACCCGACGTCCATATAATTGTAAGTCAATGTTAGTAACCTACTAATTTTCATATTCGATATTTGGTATGTATATGATGAATGAGGTGTTCCGATATAATGATCATTCCACTCGTGCACCCGACCGAATGGCATTGGCATTCGGTATTGAATCATTCGACTCGAGTCGAATGATTGTGCTTGAATTCGACTTTGGCGAATGATTTGCCCATTCGAATGATTAGTATTAGTAATGTTCAAAGTTGCACATCGCTATATTGTACGGTATAACTTGGCCCTTTTCGAGGCGAGAATGAATAGGCATTTTTTATTTTATCTTGTTAGGGACAGAAACGCTGCAATACAAAGCAAGTAAGAAACGGTCTTATTACTAATTTATACATAATTATGTACTACCAACAATATCATCCACAATTTACTATTACAATGTTCGTGTTGCCACTTATTAAGGTGTGCATGCTCCATTGTCATGCTAGCCTGGGGGTCTAATCTCATTCTCCGTCCGACATCCGTCCTAATAAATAACTGCCAAATAAGTAATACTCGACCAAATTAAAAGACGCATGATGCGAGTGAAACTTCATACTCGACGTTCTCTTTTAATTTGGTATAATATTACTTATTTGACAGTTATTTTTTCGGACGGACGTCAGATGGAGAACGAGAGTAGACCCTTGGTTTAACCTTCCGCCTCTCTAACAGAGGCCAAGGGTTCAAATCCGACGTTCGCACTTCTGAGTTTCTCAGAATTTTTGTGCGAAATTTACCGATGAGCTTTTTGGTAAAGGAATAATCGAAGAAGGTTCACAACCCTCGGTAAACGTGTGAAAAACCCTCGCCTCAGAGGAGACCCGTGCCCAGTAGTGGGACGGATAAATCACGTCACTTTCCATCAGGTGAGATTGAGGTCAACTGCAAACTTATTTTTTATAAAAAAAACCTGCAGTTCTTTATCTTATTGGGCAGCTGCATTCCCAGAATGTGCTACGTGGCGGTAGGGGCTTCGGAACTACTCCACTTCATAATTATATTATATGAAAAATACGTGTTTTTAATTATTTTTTGTGGTGGTGGGCGTTGAAATTTTTTTATCTTGCCTCAGCTCTAAGGTTTATCAAAGAATTCCCAATAATAATTATTATTATTTTATACTAACTTTTTTTTTACTCAAACAGGTGTACGACTACGACAGCAACGCTTGGCTTCACGTGGACCCCTGCGAGGGCAAGCTGGACGCCCCACTTCTTTACTCCCACGGATGGGGCAAGAAGCTTGCCTACGTCATCGCCTTCTCCAGAGACGATCTCCAGGACGTCACTTGGCGGTACACCACTCAACATACAGAGGTCAGCTTCTTGATTCTATATTTTTATAATTAAAAACATATGCTAATGCAAATTGTTGCGACCTCACGCGAACGCTCAAAATGAACCAATTTCGGGATTCCTATTTCTCCTAATTTTTTATCTTGTAAAAAAGATTGAAACAATCTCAGTACAGTGTTAAAAAAACCAACCTCAAAAGTTCGTGGAATTACTTATATTTGCCAAGTTTTATTGAAATTTGTTGCCAGAAAGTGCGCGAAACCGTATTCGTCCCATAGTTTGCCACCCTTAAAGGTGGAATATTTTCTTCAAATTAAATGGGACCAATACTGAGGTACCCTTTTTCCAACAAAAAAGAATCATCAAAATCGGTTCACAAACGTTCATAATCCCTTAACATAGTACATACAAAAATAAATACAGCCTAATTGAGAACCTCCTCCTTTTTTTGAAGTCGGTTAAAAATTTAGTTCCCGTGCTAACGCGGAGCAATACCAAAACAATATACTTAAACTATAAGATTAGAAGTGCACGAGCATGAAAAGCAGACAAATAAAAAAGAGGTGCCATAAACAAATGCATTTAAAGTTTCAATCTAAAACTAAACTGATAAATAAAACTATATACAGACCTCGGTATTCAGCGGTCAGCTCTCTGGTTCATTTTCCAGCAGGATCATTTTAAGCAACGACCTTTTCTAAATTGATTCTGGTTTGAGTGTTATTCGTAGATCTCAAGAGTTACCTTTAATCTCATTGAGTAACTCTGTTACTGACACGATGTTCCGTCTACCAGAACAAAATGTGAGCCATATCATTGAGACTTTTTGTGAAATAACTACACTAATTTTGTTATGTTTCTTAATACAAAGATCGAACACATAGAATAATTTCTTCGACCCGGTGGTACTTGAACCCCCGACCATGCTGCACCGTAGTATTGCTCTTACCAACTGAGCCACAGGTCAAGTTACCGAGCTGTCGAAATTGTATGTGTTTTTGTTATAGATCTTTGTACTGGCTTTCGGCATTCGTCGCCGCCAGTGATATCTTGTGAAAGATTTTTGAAAAAAAACATTTTTCAGCATGGTCATGGATTCAAGTCTCGTCGGGTCGAAGAAATTTTTCTATGTGTTCGATCTTTGTTGTTGTTAACTGCCTCTGTGGCCGAACGGTTACCATGCTTACCTTCCCTTACCTTACCTATTTCTGCCGCCAAGCAGTAATGTCAGCATTACTGTGTTCCGGTTTTGAAGGGTAAGAGTGCTGGTGAAATTATAGGTACACGGGACTTGTTAACTTATGTCTCAGGGTGACGGGCGCAGTGGCAGTGCCCCTCAGATCGTAGCGATTTAAAACTCTGTGTGGCACTGCAACTGTTATGGACAGGCGTGTAGCTTACCATCAGGCGCACGACTTATTCGTCCCGTCACTTGATAGTATAAAAAAAATCTGGACTGCCACGCAGAGATCCCGGGTTCGATTCCCGGGCATTTATTTCTCTCGTGAATTTAGGTGAAAGTTGTCTATGTGTGTGTGTCCATGGCACCCGCGATACAGGGTTTCCCTAGTGCGGGGCTGTGAGTATGTGCGTTATTATTGTATTAATAATCTTATGATTAGTAACTCACATAACAATAGATAATATCATTCCTTTAAATATAATCTGTTAAAAATACAACCTTGTGACCCTGTATTTGTTTCAGGTTTTAAAAAGAAGAACACTGTGCACGGAACAGGAGTTGACAAGTACCATTTTGCTTCTACGCGAGGCGCGGCAGAGGCAGATCTCCGAGCCGAGGCGCCGCTGCCTCGCGAAACGATGCCTCGAGGAACTCGTTCAGCTAATGGTTGAAAAGTATGTACACACGGACTTTATTATTTGTTTACAATATTTAACTATTGTTTTTAACTTGGAGGGAATGTCCCACAGAACAATAAATACAGTAGAAGTTAGTTAGTGGCTGACGCGTGCCAACTGTTAGTCCGCCATTTTCGCTTTGCATGGTATGGTTGTGTCATTCTTTCGCGCAAATTCTCTAAAAAAATTCTAGAAAAATTTGTGTTGTGTGAAAATATTGTGCTGTTTTGGAGTGCAAAAATGATAGCCGCACCAAAAATGTTACCCGTAGTAGTATGTCATATCATCGGTAAGTCTTATTTTAATAAATTTTCAATTTTCTGTTAGGTATCGAATTGATTTCTTGTATTGTAACAAACGAAAGTAAACATAATCCCAGAGCTATATGGTCGAGTTTCATCTTTTGGAGATCTAAGTACACATCTCGAATTTTCCACGCTAGTAGCGAACAAACGTTTAGCGAAAAAATCCTTCATCTTAAATGATCAAAATAAAGTTCATTATGCTATGTGAGCGTTAAAGAAGACCCTATTGTCGTGAAGATACTACTTTGTATTAGTTCAGATGTTAATTGTTCGTCGTAGTCTAGCTACGGGCCGCAAGATGGCAGCACATTGAATAAAATTTCAATATAAAATCAAAACGTCGTAACTTGCAATAAAGGTTATATTGAACTTTCGACGAGACAGCGACTGGTTAAAGTTTTAATTATATTAACAATCCAGAATTTGTCAAATCTTTTGAAATTAAAACTATGATGAATTATTACCAAGATTTCATAGTGTTCATCATTTGTTTGTGTGCGTTTTTTCGACAGCGGTTCCGATGGGAGTGGGAGTTGATATTCGTTCTTTCGTTTTAATCTGTAGTAAAATTTTCGACAGTTGATTCTATCTATCTAAGTAGTTGATTCTATACTTATATAGAGTCATACTGCCTGACATTCTAAACAAAATACCTGTACATTTGCATAAAGATATGTTTACGAATGCCAAGAAATGCAAACAAGTTTAAAAAAAGTAAATACTTGAGAGATATGTACTCATAACAAATGTTCGATCTTTGTAATAATAATTATAGCAAACTACTAAAAATAATTGATTACCCATGCAATACAAATTTAATTAAAACTGTCTCTATTTATTTTATTGAATATCACGATGTTTTTACTAGTACGGAACGAGTTAGCAGACTTTACAAAGTTCTCCAAATGCCCGTTGCAGTTCTTTTTTTTAACGGCTTATTTGCCGTAAAGCCACCTTTGAGAAATCTATGAAAGTTTGCGTCTAGTTATTACCTGACAATTTTCGACAGCGTTTAAACAACTGCCTCAGTTTATTAATCTTCCATAGTTCGTAAAAAACTCTGTCAACCTTTAGAAAATGTTGCCATTTAAACCACTATTGCTAATAATATCTATCTGTAAAACTTTTGACAAAATAATCAATAGAAACGGTGGTTTTTTTTTTTGTATTATGACTTTGCGTAGAACATTTAGCCAATGTCAAAGTTAGGTAAGCAAGGATATTGAAAAAATAGAACGAAACCGGAATTGGTAATAAACTGAGTCATATAGGTAGAATGTCAATGCCTTCAGCGGTTAGCCGGTAAGCAATATTTATGTATTGTTTGTTCATTGCAGGAAACCTGAAGATGGTGAAACCCAAGGCAGGATCTCGGGATCGACGGCGTGGCGACGCGAACGCGGTGAAATTGGCACTCAGGTATTCTAACCTATAAATAATTTCAATTTCACAGGTCTAACATATGTTACCATAATATTATGGTACGAGGTTGCCTATTTCCCTATAATATTATAGTACGTGGTTGCCTCATCTTTGTATACGTTACTGAATTACTGCTGGAGACAGTTGGGCGACAGGGTTCGTCAAAAATGTTAAGAGTTACTTTGTTAAAGCATATGTTAAGCAGCATCACTTGTCCATATTTTTATAATATTATTAGCATAATATAAATGAATTTCAGGGTAGTAAAACATAACATTAATTAATATCAATATTACGAATCTAAAAGCGACATCTCTTGTCGCCTTAAGGTACCTCGTTAAGAGAAGAGAAACCCATTTTTGCCAGTCAGTTGAGAAATTTATATTTCTGACAGGTGACGCTATGGCAAAAAATTATTAAAAACCAAAAATGAAAGATTTGTAACAAACGCATAGACAATTTCTTGAGGTCTGCTGATCTGATTTGTAGCTCAGTTGGTAAGCCACTGCCCTAGATTGGCATAATACAGACACAGGTTCGAGTCCTGTCTTTTTATCTTTTATTATTTATTCTTTTATAATTTATCTTTGTTTTCAATCTTTATTAATAATTGTTATATGACGTAAAATCGTATGTTATACTCTTCTATCCGCATACTCGAATTCCCCCTCCATCACTGCCACCTGTGTTGTCATTATACTGTTATCGATTCCACTAGAAATCAAATCGACAAGTAGTTATTACTGAGATTTTTTGTTACTTTTGTTATGGTTATTTATTACAAAGATTAAAAAAATTAGAAAAATTTCTTCGACCCGATGGGACTTGAACCCATGACCACACTGCGCCGTAACGCTGTTCTAACCAACTGAGCTGCAGGCCAAGTTATCCAGTTGTTGAAGTTCTCCTATGTGTTTATGTTATAGATCATTGTACTAGATTTTTCGGCATTCAGCGTCACTAGTGACATTTAGTGAGAGATTTTAGAACCTTCTTGCCGCAGCCGGTACCTTTGACTAGAAATTCAATAAATTAAAACAATGTATTAAATAGTTGGTGCTAACAATAGGGCCACGTATTCCGTTTCGTCTGCCCGGGTCCATGCAGCGTTCAGTACTGCACGGCATCGGACAAGTACACGGTGACAGGCGGAGCGGAAAGCGAGTTGTCCGGGTGGGCCAGTGGCGTATACAGCGCGAAAAGTGTATTTCGCAAGGTCGAGCATGATTGGCGCATGGTATACTTAGCTAGAGAGGGTAAGTACCTTTTTTCTCCCGTACTTTGTTATACAGTGCCAGTTTTTAATTCCACGGTATTTTAATGGGCAATTATACAATTCGTTTCAGTCCATTATGAAAGATAAACCGACTTGCCATACAAATCATAACTAGCGGAATTTACTCCGGAACAATACCCAGAACACCCAGATCAGAACCAATTTAGTTCATTTCCCAAATTGGTCTTACCGGGAATCGGCTCTGGGACCTTCCGTGCAAACTGTTGGGCCAACAAAGTGTCACTATATTTCGCCACCGCAGAAGGCAGTGGTGAGGGGTCAGTGTCGTGGCGCGTGGAGGCCTGCCCCGGCGGCGTGCTGCACGGCGTGCGCGCGCGCCTTCACGCCACGCTGTACGAGGACGCCACAGTCGCCTGCACCGTCAGCGTGGACGACGCGCCACACAAACCTTGCCAGTTCTCCGGTAAGTTTACCTCCGTAGCTACCACTAATCCACAGAATACGTATTTACGTGTGGCGCACTATAAGTTTCCGGAATGAATAACAAAAAAATACTATAAATAGTCAGAAATGAATTTATTGTTTCTCAAAATATTCTCCGTTGGCGTTAATGTACTTTTTCATACGAATAAACCAATTTTGAAAACATTTATGCCACTCCTCCGTGACAATCTCTGAAACATATTTTTCATACTCTTCGACAGCCTCTTCAGGTGATGAAAATCCTAGACTACGTAACTGGTTCTTAATTTTTGGAAATATGTAAATAAAAGTCACAAGGTGCCAGGTCGGGACTGTACGCGGGATGGCTCATAAGGTCAACGTTGTTCACCTTCGAAAATTCATTTGTCTGTCTGGCCGTGTGAGAAGTAGCATTATCGTGGTGCAAGATATACGGCGTTTACAGTTATTTTTACCGAGTTTGTTAATAACTTCCGGCAAACAAATGGTCGTGTACCAATCACTGTTCACGGTACAACGATTCTACAAAGAAACGATACCCACGTGTCCAGTTTTATTAAAAAAAAAGCAATCATCCGCTTAGAGGCAACTTGCACGCGCGCCACTTTGGTTGGTTTCGGCTCATCTCGAAAGACCCATACGCTAGATTGCTGCTTTGTTCTGGGATCGTAAACATAAATCCATGTTTCGTCACCTGTTACTATGTCCCACACCAAATCTGACGCCCCTTCTTTGAATTTGGAAAGCATGGCATTGCACCAAGTGACGCGATACGTTTTTTGAGCCTCAGTCAAATTGTGTGTGATCCACCGAAAGCACAGCTTTTTCACACCCAAATGTTTGTGTAGTATTGATTGTAGTTGACTCATGCCTATGCCTAAAGATGACCGAATCTCATGGTATGTCACATGCCTGTCTGTTTTGATCATACGGCGCACAGCATCGATGTTTTTGTTGTTCGCAGCTGTGGACGGGCGACCATAACGAAATTTGTCACTGAGATACACGACCGCGTTTAAATTCTGAAAACCAGCAGCTATAAATAGTCATCTTGCATGGTGCTTCATTGCCAAAAGCAGTTTGAAGCCGAGCGAAGCTCCGCTGAGCTGTTAAATTACACTTAGGCTCGTATTCCAGAACTCTACTCAATACTCAAGTCAGGACTTGAGTATTGCAGTGAGCACTGAAAATCATACTCAAGTCCTTGCCATTAGGGTTGTATTTCCAGTGCTTGAAATCATACTCAAGTCTGCTCAAATCCTGACTTGAGCATAGAGTAGAGTTCCGGAATACGACCCTTAAACTCGTAGAAAATCATACTACGAAAATTTTCACGAGTTAAATCCATGGTGATGTAGACAACCAATTTCTAAAATGACGCCACAATGCAAAAACAAGTGACAATCAGATGAAACAAACTGTATTCTACAGCCAAAGAGTTCCATTTTCAAATGTTATAATTACTTTTTAAATAATTGTTTGTGTAAGTGGCCAGTTCCTGAAACTTATAGTGCGCCCTATGTATATTCTTGTTTATTCTTGTTTGCCTATTCGAAAGCCGTAATGGGTTATTTTCATTAATCGATCGAATCAACCGACCATTTTGGTCGATTGTTTCGAACCAAATTGCCTGAATGCGGGTTTATATATAGTAATCGGAGACGGGATACTCGAGCTACTTACTATTTACAATAAATAACATGATGATAACAAAAATTCAAAATCAATTAAATATTTAAAGTCTATCGTTTCACATGGATTTGAAAAGAGGAAGGAAACCGTCACAATGACCATCAGGAGCGGTATTCTGTAATCGCTATCGTTATGATTCAGTATGACTCTGATAGCGAAAGTCGTCGGTTGCCGTATCGACAACTTACCGATTATACTGTTCTGGAAATCCACGATAACGAAAATCGTTACTGCAACTCACGCGTACCGACAGCGATGTGACGTCAGGGTTTCATTATTGAAAAATATACGAAATGGGAACATCCCGACGGGAGGCTGTTTCTCGATCGAGCGTTCAAATAGTTATTTACAAACTTTCTTAACTATGCTTATTTAGTTTGTGCAAAGTTAGTTACATTCAAGAGTAACGTACTGTGTGTGTTTATTTTTTCTGAATACTTCTGCAAAATGACATGACAAAGACAAAATAACAACATTACGACAAGTAAGCAAATTGGAGTTCTGTAAATATTTACTTTATTTTTTTCCATCCTCTAAAAATAACGGATGGCTCACGTATTTAAGTCGAATTTTTGGTCGACATGTTTCGGACCAATTCGTGGTCCTTAATCATGAGATTCCGCGGCGGTGACTCGACGGAAACTGCGCGCCAAAGCCCTGGCAGCCCGATCACTCAGTACGGCAGCGGGCGCAGGCGGCGTCGGCGAGAAGATACCCTCGTTTGCTTCATTTTTATTAAAGTCATATGCAGGATTGCACACTGCATTAACAACGTCATTTTCTAAAGTCTCGTCTACACTAACCACTGACGTAGTACCTAGCACTGTTTTCCTAGAATGAAAATGGAATCTTATATACACCGGGAGCCATTGAATGTTCCCGGTGTATATAAGATTCCCTGGTCCTGTGGCAAGAGTTACATAGGAAAGACCGGCCGTAACATATCCACATGACTAACGGAACACATATGTACTATTAAGAACCGGGACAATCGGGGTTCTGCAGTGACGGAACACTCATTGGATTCGGATTCGACGCACTATGCACCTGTATATGACTTTAATAAAAATGAAGCAAGCGAGGGTAGATTCTCGCCGACGCCGCCTGCGCCCGCTGCCGTACTGAGTGATCGGGCTGCCAGGGCTTTGGCGCGCAGTTTCCGTCGAGTCACCGCCGCGGAATCTCATGATTAAGGACCACGAATTGGTTCGAAACATGTCGAGCAAAAATTCGACTTAAATACGTGAGTTATCCGTTATTTTTAGTTAATAAATCCGGCTATTCTTGTTAAAATATATATGAATAAAAATTGATCTCCATACTAGTAGGCCAACTGTCAAAATAGGAATAAAGAATTCAATGACGCAATTAGTAATCATTAGAACGACGTAACGTTCACAATTCAGACATTTTTGACAAATTTTACCTTTCACTATCTATCGATAAAACTATCGACAATAACTGCATAACTATATTTTATGAAAACTGGCAACCCTACAAATGTCATTTTACGCTATCTTCAAAAAAGACAGACTATAGTGTAGTGTTGATACAATCACGGCCCTAGCCGCCTCCACCCTGCTAAAGACTAACGGAAGTTAACCATAATCGATGTTTAGTTCCAATCTGTTAGCACAGTGTTGAGCTATAAAGTTGAGGCCTGTCATAAGAAAATTGTATAAAAACCATTGACTTACAAATAAATGGACGACGGGTCTAATACAAAAACCACGAAAACAATGTCCCAAGTCAACCTATTCGAAATTTAAATTGTTATGTCATCGCAGTATCGCGCTGTCCGTAGAACAAATGAAGACTAAAGCGGAGTGTCGCGCTCTGTATACGATTTTAGCGCCTTACAAGTGCGGACACTTTTTAGCGCGGACCCGACGTCCATATAATTGTAAGTCAATGATAAAAACCGAATATTTAACGTCACACCAGCTTACGTCACGACATAATTTCACCTATAAACGCTTAATATGAAAACGTCTAGCAGCAGAGCTCTTTGTGAAAGAGTTTGACCAGGGAAGTACTGCTTCCTTACCTATTTCTGCCGCCAAGCAGTAGTGTGAACATTATGCGTAACGGCTTCGAAGGGTAAAGGTGCTGGTGAAATTACAGGCACAAGAGACTTGTCAACTTATGTCTCAGGGTGTCGGGCGCAGTGGCAATGCCCCTCAGATCTTTGTGATTTAAGGCTCTGAGTGGCACTGTTACTGTTAGGGACATGGCGTGTCGCTTTCCACCAGGCACACGAATCGTTCGTCCCATCACTTAGTGCTGTAAAAGTAAAGCTTGGATAGGTAACGATATTCTGCCTTTCAGATGCGTGGATGCAGGTCGCTGCGCAGTGCCGGTCGGCTACGCTGACGGCTAGCCTGCGAGGCGGGCGAGGTGAGCTGGCGTGGCAGCACGCGCAGCTTCTGCGCCAGCCCCTCGACGACGCCAGATCCATGTTCGACATCGCCGCCACACTGGAACTGCTCTAAGCGCCCCATTTTCTATTCAATATGACTGATTTAATTCAAAGTGTAGGCTGACTGACACAACTAATGGTTACTCTAAAGCGCCCCATTCATTAGCCAATGCGTGGACGGATCGACACAACAATTGACAATTCCAACTTGTAAGTTGACCGACACAGAGATAATGCAACACGACTCAGTTCAGACTGGTGTTAAACAGCTTTTTCACTGTCCATCATATTACTACTACATTTTACTTTAATATTATACGTAAATAAATGGAGACGAGTTACACAGATAGGTAATGGTGACTGATACTTTTTCAACTATTTTAAAGATTCCCATTCACTACCCAGCATGTTAGTTATTAAATTTACTCAATCCTGTCACATGTACAGTTCGACTAGCCGCCGATTTATGGCACTAGTAAAGTATAAGAAACGAATTACTATTTTATTTTATTGCAATTTTGTTTCTATTAATTACGAATGTTTCCCAGTCCTGCATTGATTCCTGATTTATGATAAGTTTGTTTTTTCTATTTTGTACTAGATTTTTTAATGTACATATTTTAATGCTGAAAGAAGAATAATAATGTAAGAATTAAATTTTAATTAATATATTTAAATTGTTCACAGCCATTCCAATGTAACATATACATATATTATATAAAACTTAAAATCTATGAAGAACGAATTTAGTTGTTTGCTTTATTTCTCCCTACGGCCTAAGGTTTCAAAGACTTAAGGTTTAAGGACAAAAAGTGAGAACATAAAGTAGTAACATTTATATTTAAATAAATAAGAAATTTAAATAAAGTAGTAATCTTCATCTTTCGACATCGACTTACCAAATTTTTCTGAAAAAATTTAAATGAAACTAAATGGATTTTATCAGAATATTAATTTTATTGAATGTCAT